TAAAAAAAAGTCGATAAAAATAAAATAAGTATGTAACATTCGACTTTTTCGCAACATGCATAGACAAGGTACCAAGGTTGTATGCCGACTAACAATTAAAAACTGCTAGTCACGACGAACCCGGAAATACAAAGCTACGTGTCACTCGCCCATACATCATGGACTAGAAATGTGATACAGGGATAGGGGGTTTTTTTTTATTACTAAGATTGCAAAGGGACGAAAAAGAAAAAGAGTCCTTTAGGTATAGAAGAAAGGATTTCTTAGTAATAGAGTCAGAGAGGAAAGGTTGTTTTTTTTTAAAACATTAAACCTCACCTATTTATATTAGAGATAACGCGTTTGCTTATGTAATCTTGCACGTCTTATGCAAAAGATCAAATCTATAATGCTTGTCAGCTGATCGGCCATCATTAACTGTGAAAAAGTGGGGGTTTACAGTATTTTACGTGCTTGGCCAAATGGTATACGGTCTCAACCTGACCTCTAAAAATTCATCCGCACAACCTCCAAAACTAAAAAGAGCATTAATTTTTGATGAAGCCGATGACCAAGATTCCAACGGGATTACTGACGTTCGCAAAAACAGTAGTAAATCTAACATGAAATCCTACACGAAAGTCGTCAATGAGCAAATATTGTCTTCAAGTTCTATAAGTCAATCAGTCAGGAACAGTATAAAGAAGCGTTGGAAGAAGTTCCCACTGCTTTTGCATACGATGAAGTGTATGATGATATGAAAAGTGCCGAAAGGAAGAGATTAGAGATCAAAGGAAAAGATAAAGGTTGCAATAAAAAGGTTTTTGCATTAATTTTTTGATAAATCTTATAGCATTGTAATTTATTATGAATATTCACGATACTTTTTGCTTGCAGCCAAAATATGTTGATAGTTTATTGAAAGCCGCTGAAATTCGACAGCGAGATTATATTCGAGCTCAAAAGCGCAAGGTATAGAAAAAACGAGAAGCTGAAGGAGACGAATTCGAAAGAATGGAAACTTTCGTAACACCAGCGTAGGTCCATCATGCTCGAAAATTATTGTTCGTTTTTTTACTTGCATGTTAAGTACTATTTAATCGTAAACAGATATAAAGCACAACAAGAAAAGTTGAGAAAAGCTGAGGAAGAAGAAAGGCTGCGAGGTAAATGAATAAAAAATGGATTATATTTATATTTCAATTGGTCACGACATTTACACCAGTGATCGTTTTGTAGAAGAGAAAGATGCAGCTGGAACGAAAGACATGACATCGTTTTATAGGAAATTATAAGATCAAACTAGTTCATCAAAAACTGCAGCCATAGAAGCAAGTCGTTCTAAGAAGTCAAAATCAGCTGCGATAGAAGATGATTCTACCGATCAACAACCAAAAACTGACAGGGAGCTTGCAGATCAAGCCAAGCAAGAGCAGCTGGTAAAATGGTATTGTTGAATGATGATGAACAAATAGTGGACAAACGACAACTTCTGTCAGCTGGATTAAACGTTATAAAAAAGAAAGCTTCTATATCACAATCGTCAGATGATTTATCTCGCAATAGGTCTTATAATAATAATGATAGCAAAAAATATGATAATAAATATAATTCAAAGAATAGTGATGAAATGCGTCATCGCGAGAGGCAAAGTCGAGAATTAAAAATCAAATTTTAGAAACTCAGTGAAAAAGGATGGAAGAAGAAAAGCTTAAGGAGCAAGAGTTGTTAAGTAAATTGGAAAGAAAGAATAATGATAAAGCGATTTCTGATGCAAGGGTCAGATATCTATCTAGGATAAATATGTGCAAATCTGCGTCACAATTTTTAATAAATCTGCTACGCCGGATTTAACTCATGTGATCTAACCATTTTCTTATCCCAAATACTCATTCACAAAGTGAAAGCGGTTTTATTTCTTACATTGTATAATAATTACGATGATGTATATTCATTTACCAACTGTAATTTTTTAGGTTTTACATTTAATTAAAAGATTACACAAGCACGTGAATATTTTTTGTGAATTTAATCTCAGTATTGTGAAATTTAATTTTCAACCCATTGATTTTTAATTAAATGCAAAAGACTTTCAATAGGATCAAGTTTTCTGTCTTTTCAAAATTGAAGAATTTCTGAATGATTAACACTTCTTTAATAATATAAGGTCCTTTTGCTATCTGCAAGATTATGTAGTTATATATTCAATATTTCTGGAATTAAGGCAATTTTTGATGTTTGAATAAAACTTTTTTGATTAAAACAAGGAGATATTAAAAGTTTTATGAAAATTCATGCAATAATATAAATATCTTTTAAATGATAAATTATAATAACAATAACTGTTTGTTAGTTTTTAATTAATAAATTTCACTTATATATTAACAAAGCTTTTGATATATATGAAAAAATGACTAACTAATATCAGTTATTAATGCTAAAATCATTAAAGCAAAGTTCCATGGATGTTTGTAATATGTTATATAAACAAGTTAAGTAATTTTTTAATTAGAATTCAATCTTTCTAATTTTAAAATAATATATATAATATATTGTATACATATATATATATAAAATATATATAATATAAATATTATATAGCTTGGTTCAAAGTACTTCTTTCTATAAAATACTTCAATTTATTATAAAAATATAGGTAATTATTTTTGAAGATAGCAAAAATACTAGATATAATTTTTTTAGTTCCTATTTTTAAACAATATTATTAAGGCAAAATTAATGAAAAATATAAAGATTATCAAGAAAAAAAACAACTGAAAAAAAAAAAAAAGAAAGAATACAAGTAACAAATTTTGAAAATTTATCAAAATAAAATCAATTAAAGAAAAAAAAAAAAAGAAGAAATAGAAAATAATAAATAATTTAGTTTATATAAATAATTTTTTGTTATATTCAAATTATATTATTATATTATTATATTTTAATAAATTTTTTGTTAATTATAATTATTTGCTAAATAATAATAAAATTAAATATTAAAATATATATATATAAATTTATTAAATTTTTAAACTTAAAATAGATTAAATTATAGCTAAGCTATATATCAAATAATTATATTTTATTTATTAATTTATTGTTAAATACTATTATATTATAATTAAACTATTAACAAATATTTATCAAATTATTATATTAATTTAATGCCAAATAATATCAGATGGCATAAATTTAGTTTGAATTTAATTATAGAAATTTATATAATTCAGTAATAATTTGACATGCTGAATAACCAAATTTTAACCATTTAGCACTATTAGTATGAACCTACTTTCTTAGTGTCTGTTAATATTAATAACTATAGTAGTTGCAATAGACTACAATTAATTAATTATTTATTTATTTTTATTTTTATTTTTATTTTTTTTTTAATCCCTAACATGCAAGACTACAATTAATTTATTTTCTATAAAAATTATTAAAAAAATATACAGTATATATTGAATTTATTAGTTAATAATAAAATTATTTTGATTTATTTATTTTTTTTTTAAAAACCATTATTATTTAAGGAATAAATTAATTTTAAAGTTACTATATGTGCATGCGATAAATCAATTTGTTTTTAGCTTAATTGGGAGATGGATCTGATCATGTTCTTCAAAGCTACTGTATAAGAAACATTCATTTGAGAAAAACATTGGAATACCTGTGAAGCTAGATCGTAACTGCTTAAAATTTTTGATTTTTGTTTTACACCTCTTATTAGCCCTGCAATGGATTCATTTAGTACAGGTAGCGACGTTGAGGATACAAATGACACGAGGCTTAATTACAAAAATCTTCCGACGACAGCCTTTCTTGAACAAGTTTTGCTCTATATCGAGACAAATAGTCCCCTGAATCTTACATCTATTACTGAGCTTATTAGGAAGGAGATGGTTATGCGCGTCGCATCTATCGAAGATCGTTGTTCGAAAGTGTGGCTGTTCTCGAAACTTGTAAAACTCGGAATACCTTCTTTTTATTTATTTATCGCCTTGTTTTTGTCTGCAAGTATGACAGTCAGGCATATGTATAAGCATTCTGTCTATCTCCTTTGTAATTTGTTGGGCGTAGTCTATCCAGCTTATCGTTCGATCAAAGCTATTGAAAGTCAAAATTCAGACGACACAGACGCGACAGTTGAACAAAGACAATGGTTGACTTATTGGGTAGTTTATGGTTGGCTTCAGGTTGCGGACTATTGGTCTAGTTGGCTTCTCAGGGTAATCCCTGGATATAATTTCTTTAAATTAATATTCTTATACTGGGCACAGAATGATAATTCCAGAGGTGCAACAATAATCTTCGAGCGTATCCTAAAGCCTTTGTTACGTAAGCCTTCTAAAAAGATAGACAAGACACGAAAAATGAAACAGTCAACTCGACAACGACAGCAGCACGATCAGTTCGCCAGAGAAATTACAGAGAATTCATCGGTTCATTCTTCAAGTATTCCCTATAGACCACCGATTCCACTTGAGACCATTTGGGGAAGAGATCCGGAAACACGTGAAACAGAGGTAAAACCATACCGATTGAATAACGTGTAGAACTATTCGGCGGAATATCTTAAATTATACTAGTACTAGAAATTCCATTTATTCAAGGTGTTTTGTAATTAACACCATCTCTTTCAAAGATCGGAGCCAATGAACCATAATTTTAAGGTTGTTCCGGAAATTGGCAGGATGTAATAATAATTGAAATCATGCAAAATTCGTTTATTTTTTCTTAAACGATAGAATACAGTAGTATAATAAGTTATTATTAATTATAATATGCATTAGAATTTATGTCTTTTTGCGCTTTCCTTTTTGATCACTATCGTGTGCCATTTTACTTTTTCGTTTAACCTGTTAATGAAAGAAATTAAATCAAATGAGGATTAAGTAGGAAATTAATTGAAAAAGTAAACCTACCGAATTTATTAATAATGACAAATTTGGATCGTTGAGTGAACTTTTAGAAATTTGTTCGCTCGATATTTCCTATATAGAAGGATCCAGTAACATTTATTAGTTACAAGATGACTTCAGAAAGCCACCTAAAATAATAAATTGTAATAAACCTCATTCTTCCTATTCACGTCGGACCGTTGTTCTTCCAGTAGTTTTGACATTGCTTTCGTTTTTTTGAAACTAAGATTTGATTAAGTTATTGATCAAGGAAAGAAACATTTGGAAAACGGTCAAGCTGATAGATTAGACAAAGTATAGGATACTGAGGGTTAGTAGGATCAATCGCAAAATGATGCGAGTTATACAAGGCCGCGAAACGGGGATCATCTGCATTTATTTCGAACTGATCATCATCTTCTTGAGCACCTTTACTGCGTTTCTTCTTTCTTCCCTTCTTTTTCTCACTTTTGATTATTTCTTTCATATCAAAATGTTTATTATTGTGGTTATCTTCATCATCAATCACGAGAAGTTCCAATTCAGCCTTTTTCCGATCCGTTTCCGCGCGCTCTTGCTGAGACATCTTATACAAATTTTTAGATCGTGTCGGTTTATTTGAAGTTGAAAAAAAGGGATCATCAAAATCAACATTGGTATCTTCTTCCTCAGCTAAAAGTTGGTTAATTAATCAGTTTTATCGTTATCAACAATATTCTTATAGATTAAATGAATCATCTTTACCGTCATCGATATTATTTGACTTTCTCGCGGCTTTTTTCTTTTGTTTTCTTTCGCGTTGTTTGCGTTTATATGCTTCTATGGTAGTTTCATTCTCGATAGACTGTGCAATTTTTTAAGAAACACACGCGTAAGATTAGCCCACGAGCCGATGAGAGGGAAATGAGCAAATTAACGAACATTTTTCTCAGGTGTCTCTTCAGTCAGTTCTCTCAAACCTGGAGTAAATGTAATCTCAATTTCTTGCTCCCTGTCCGATTGGTCTTTCAATTGAACTTCATCCAAAAGATTCCTAAGTTTTTCGCGCGAGATTTCGATGTCACTTTCGGAACTCTCTTCGCTGGAAGAGGCGAGGTACGCTTTGAAATCCATGATATCAAGATCTTTTTTTGAAAATTTTTGTCGCGTTGTTCTCACGCGATCGGGATCGTCTTCGTCCCATGTTAACTTAACATTCGAATGTTGTAATGCCTTCATTTTTAATTCCGAAGAAAAACGGTCAACCCAACATTTAGTAAATAGAGAGAATCCATTGTCCCAATAGATAGGATTATTTCTACTCACGTCAGTAACAAAGTCTACGGGCTTATATGAATCCGGTTCCTGTAAGCATTCATCCCTATTTCGTGTCAACGCGCGGCGTCAAGAATCATTGATATAAGGTAATAAGCATTAATGTTTTATTAGAATCTTAATACTTGATTTCATCGTCGAACACCATGTCATCAGGAACAAAACGTAAATCGAGGAAATTTGCTGTTCTTTCAAATTCTGCACCATCGCATTGTTGATAGATATGTTGAGCGTTTTCCGCAGTATCGCAGTCTACAACCGCATAGTAATATCTGCTTTCACAAAAAAAGTTATTATTTCAAACAAAATCATTTGGATCGATCAAGAAAAAGAAAGATAATACTTTAAACGCTCCAGTTGGTATTTTCGCAATAACTCTTCATCAAATTCTTCACCAGCGTTATTCTTCATTATTGTCTCCGAAGTAATTACTTCCTGATCTTCTTGAAATGTTATGTTGCTTTCTGAGGAAAAATTGTTAGGTTTAAATACCTCCTTTGGTGGTCCTTCACGGATTTCCTATAGTGACAGAAGAGAATTAAATTAAGCTCCTCAACCGAAAACAAGTATATGGGGTTAGACGAATACCTTTTCTAATCTTTCCTTCCCAAATTGAGAAGGATAGATTCTCACAGACTTTATGACAGAACCATCAATCTTAAAACTATTAAACAGTTTCATCAGATCTGAAGCTTTTACATTGTCCCAGTCGAGGTTCACAACGGCAAACCGATGCGTTTTTTCACCGAACCGAATTTGCTCTTCTGCTTCTTCCTTCTCAAATTCATTTTGCCACGATGGGTCGGCATCATCGTCATCGTCATCATCATCCGATGATGAAGAAGCGATCCCCTGGCCTCTAGCAGGGTCAAACACTAGTGAATCATCGTCATCATCCGACTCAGAGCCTTCGGAGGATTTGTCGTTTAGTTCCAAGGATTCTTTTTGGCTACCAGCTTCTTCCGCATCCGGACGTTCCAGTCTATAAAACCTTTCCAATTCTATTGCTGATTTATCTGACGAAATTGGTCTCCCATATTTGTCAACCTTGGCTTAAAACAAAAGTAAGTAAGTAACCCTATAGGTCTCTAAAATTGTTGTTAAAATGATTGAACATACGGGACTCCTTGAATTCTTTAGTCTTTAGTATTGACGCGAATCGATTATCTAACGTGATTTTCACGTCTTTCCTCTTCGGACGCTCAAAGCGCGGATCCTTCAATACATGTTTGAATCGTGGATCTTCGGTGTCCAAAACGTCGGGTTTTTTTTTTTTAATATTTGCTTCCGTGAATTCCGTATTTTTTCCCTTCATTACCAACAATGCGTACCCGAGAAAACCTACTGTTACACGAGGTATCAATAAATGATCGACGGAATAATTGCAGATCTTAACTTGGGAAAATGGCTTTCTTAACGGATGAGGGCAGATTGTAAGTGATTTCACTTTTGAAAGACATCTCGTTTAGTGACAATTTTTTCTAAAAATGTGGATGGTTTGTTTCGCATCAACAAAGTCCTTGGTATAGGTATGTCATATCGAACTGAAGATTTATTCTTTGATGTTTTCATGGGACTAATTTAAAAATTCTTATAGACGCGATGGTACAAAATTTAGTAGCTACCTAGTTGGGGTTGCTGGTGCGTGCATTCTTTCTTCCTTTTTCCAAAGAAAAGAAAAAAAACTAATTAGTATTGAATTTTTTCTTTTAGGAGGAAGTGCCAGTGGAAAAACTAGTGTATCTAAGTATGCATTATTTAAGGATTTAACAAAAAACAACAACCAAGGATTCTTATCAATTTATTAATTGACAATAACTTGAATAGGAGAATATTAAAAAATTTAAACGTGCCATGGGTAATTCAAGTTAGCATGGATTCTTTTTACAATATTTTGACGCCCGAACAAAGGAACGAGGCTGCGAACAAGTATGATTTTTTTTATTTGGGAGTATGATCACATTAACGCCGCAACATATTAAATTCATCTTGAATAATATTTATTGTTTTGCCATCATTCAAAAGCAATTATAATTTTGATCACCCCGACGCGTTTGACTTTGACTTATTGCTGGAGACACTGAAAAACTTGAAAGAAGGGTATGCGATTGTTGAATATTCGTTGACTTCAATTTTCCTTGTGAAGAAGTTCATTTGAAACCTCCATTTTATAGAAAAAAAGTTGAAATTCCGGAATATGATTTTGTAACCCATTCTAGGTAGATATGTGATTAGTGAGTGTTCATTTTATTCAACGGGAGTTATCTCATTGCTTCAAAACGTTTAATTCAAGGCTCTCAAAGACAACAACTTTGTATGGTGCAAACGTCATTATATTTGAGGGAATTTTTGCTCTATACGATAGAAGAATCATGGACCTTATGGATATGAAGGTTTATCAAAAATTTTGAGATCCGGTAGTTTAACCTTTGCATCACTTAACCATTAGTATAACATCGTCTTAGATTTTCGTGGACACCGATTCTGATATTCGACTCTCACGTCGCTGTAAGTCTTACGTGTTTCATATTAAGACTTTTTTGTTTATGACGCACAACATTTTAAGTAAAATACGAAAATTTACTAGTGATTCGGGACATTAATGAACGAGGTCGTGACCTAAATAGTGTCCTGCGGGTATTATTCATTTGTATCCAGAAAAATAGTTTCCTTGTCGAGATCAACATGACACTGAAATTTGGATTCTTTTATGTAATAGCAATATCTAAAATTCGTGAAACCATCTTTCGATCAATACATACAACCTACCATGAAAAATGCTGACGTGGTAAAGGCGAACACATATCTGCTTCTTATTATCCTTTTTATTGTTAAACAATAGAGGGTAATAAAGTAGTTCAACATTGATAATGATGAAAATGATAGATCATTCCGCGCGGTCTTGATAATTTGGTGGCTATAGATTTGATTACCAAACATATTCAAAGTCATCTTCGAGAGCATCGTTTCAACTTTCGATGGGATTTGACAAAAATCGTTTGTGACGAGGAATTGCCCAAAAATGTAATAGTTCTCGAACAGAAACCTCAGTTGAAAGTAGGTGCCCTCCTTTTCACGTCATTACTTTTGAAATTTCTCAATAAACAGATACCCATTAAGCCATTCCGTAACAGGGAATACAAACGATTATTCGTGATAGAAGTACGAAACGTGATGATTTCATATTTTATGCTGAACGTCTTGCAACCTTGGTCGTTGAGCGGTATGGTAGTTATCAAATCATGTTCTTATATTGATGCTTGCATCTGATACTGTGTTATTCGAATAATTCAAGTGGTCTGGCCGAGTTGATTTTTAAAGAATGTCAAGTCGAAACACCACTTAATATACATTATGTTGGCAAGAAATTTGATGGTCAGGTATATATCCGCAGCTATGTGATAAAGATCAACTGATTTTTCATAAAAATTATTTTCTATTAAATTTTACAATAACTTGTTAAAACGTCAACGTTTTGGTAGCTATGTGGCGTCTCCATTGTTCGTGCTGGTGGCACGATGGAAACCGGGTTTCGAAGAGCTGTCAAGGATGCTATGATTGGTAAAATGTTGATCCAAACAGATTCGAAGACGGGCGAACCATCAGTACGAGTTTTTTTTTGTGAAAATCTTTTTCTCGAAACATTATACCATTATATTTTGAATTAATTCTTTTTTTTTTCATGAAGCTTCATTACACGAAGTTCCCGCCGAATATACACAAATGCCATGTTTTTCTTATGGTATTTATTTGAAAACATGCGTTTTTACGTTGATACCTGTGTTATTTATTAAATCCCGTTTCAATAAGGATGCACAAATTTCGACGGGTGCCGCTGCTTTGATGGCCATACGTGTTTTACTTGACCATAATGTTCCTGAGGTAGTATTATATTGATCTTGTTTGTCAAAATATTATCTAACCTGTCATTTTAACAACGAACCTTTGATTTTTTTTTAGGATCATATTATCTTTTTAACGTTCCTTGCAACACCGATAGGTACCATCATTCACCGTTTTATTATATAAAAAAAATCTTTTTTGAATGAAAATTAAATTGTCATGTTTGATCATTTTTCAGGAATTCATACGATTTCCAATGCTTTCCCCTTGGTCAGAATCTGTACTTCAATGATCGACCCAAAGGTCAACAAAGAAACCCTGTTCATCGAACCTGGCATGGGAAACTTTGGAGGTAGGATACCAATTCATTCTTATCTTGTCTCATTTTTGAGATACCGTTGTTTAATCCCATCTCGTATCTTACAGATCGTTATTATGGCACATAGCGATTCAATTCAACTATTGTTACTTCGATGTAATGTCAACTTCCAAATTTTCAGAAATTGGGATGTATTTATTATTATATTAATTTTATACATAGATTGGCGGATAAGCTACGGTATTAACGCGTATGAGAATTTTCGATGTGCGAATTTCCGAAATATTGCTAACTTTCCAAGTGCAACATGATAGAATTAAAAATGTGGCATTAATATTCACATCGTGAAACAAATGAGAATCCCAATAAATTCAACTATCCCAAGTATGAAAACCACTTTCTGATTTTATGCGGACCAACCCATGTCCCTTTTAACAGACGGTTCCAATAGATTTCCGGCATGACCTGTGAAATGTAAATTTGGTCAGGTGAAAAGCATCAAGTATATAATATATATCTTAAACCACGTGACTTACCTCTTTGGTGAGGTAGTACATAGAGCCTGACTCTTTTCCTTGGTCAAATGGGAAAGTTTCCATCGGCTTTGTAGTGTACCCACTGAATTCAGCCAAGACCACCTGGTCTCGGCCTACAATCAGCGGACAACTAGCATAGCCATCATATCTTGCCGCGTTGTTAGGATCAAAACTTTGAGTGATTGCGTTCAACAAATTCTTCTTCAGAACTCCCGACTGCACGGAGACTGCGGCGGCAGTTTTCGAGGTCGGACAACAAGAAGCATCTCCAAGCGAAAAGATGTTTGGATATTTCGTGTGTTGCAAAGTATTTTGATCAACGTCCACCCAGCCGGCCGCGTTACCAATTTTTGAATCAGCTATAAATGATGGCGGCCCCATGGGGGGAACGACATGCAACAAATCGAAATTATAAATTTGCTCTTCGCCGGTTTTGCCATTTTTGAAAACAGCTTCTTTCTTGTCCCCGCGGACCTCCGTGAGCTCGGTTAGGAGATTAACCTGAATGTCACGTTCTTTGGCGATACGCGTCAAGCTGTCGGCATATTTGTCAATGCTGAATATTTTACCCATAGCAGAGTTATATATAACTTTGGATTTGGAGCGCAAATTGTTTTTCGTGAGATGATCCTCGGCAAGATATGCTATTTTGATTGCAGCACCAGGACACTGATAAAAGAAAAAAATATCTTTGTAAAATTGTTAAAAAGTAAAACCTAAAAAGTTGTATGAACGGTTGGTTCAAACCTTAATTGGAGTACTAGGCATGGTAAAGATTGCGTTTCCTCCCCTGAACTCTTTCAGAAAATCCCAAGTTTTTTCAACGGTGTCCTTAGAATATATACTCGTCACCCCATTCTTACCAATGCTTTCTTGAAGGCCTTTAACCTTATCCCAATTCAGCTGGATGCCCGGAGCTACAACCAAAAAGTCATACTTGACCTACAAGAAACATCTTTCAGAAAGAAATAACATGTTTGGTCAAGGTGTTTCCGATTGACATTACCTTACTTCCATCGCCTAAAACAACAGAGTTATTCTCTGGTTCAACCTTCGTAACTTTGTTTTTAATCCAATTTGCATTCCGAGGGATTAATTTCTCGGTGGGTCTCGCAGAATCGGCCAGTGTCTTGAGACCAGCGCCGACAAACGTCCATTGTGGTTGATACTGTCCAAAAAATAAGTTTCAAATTTGTCGGTTACAATTTAATGACGTGAAGTAAAAAAAAAAAAAAAAATCATGAAATGTGAATATCTACGTAATGAACATCGGAAGGTTCGATAATGGCGACAGAATTTTTTCCAAGGATTTCGGAAATGGTCGACGACACTTTAATAAAAATACTTCAGCATCGTTGTCTAGTTCTTTGAACGGTAATTATAATTAATTATAATAATAAAAAAAAACTTACCGGCTAAACCACCGGCTCCTCCGCCTGAATAATTTTTTGCAGATACGTTATTTGAGTTGGTGAAAAAAGGTATGTCATAGACGCTCAAATGAATTCATACATACCAACGACCACAACTTTGTAAGAGGGTAACTCGGAACGAGTCGAAGCAAACCTCTTGATAAGGGATTGACCATTAAAGTTCAACGAACACCTTCGAGCGACGAACATGATAAAGGGTACTCAACTGCTAGAATGAAGTTCAGACAAATATATAGGACCGACAAGCCAGGTCCATCAACCAAGGCCCTCATTTTTATGCTATAACAGGTAAGTCCCTATATTACTATTTCATTGATCAATTAAATGATATGAAAAAAAATGAAAATTTTTTCTTTTTATCGTTCGCTCCATTCTCACAGTGCATTATATCAAAATTTTAGGCCTTCTAATGGGAAGTATGTCAAGGGTCTATATGAATTCTTTCAAAAGACTCCCGAAGATCAATACGTCACTTTGCCCAAAGCGAGATACTTGGTAACAGGTGGGCATCTTCACTTACTAACAATTTACGATTTACTGCTAAAATGAAATAATTTTTTTTTTCATATGCTTTCTACTAGGTCGTTCATGGACAGCCTCAGAACTTCGCAGGAAATCTTTTGAAGATTTACACAAACTATGGTATGTTTTACTTAAGGAGCGTAACCTACTTGCCACCATGTACGAAGAAGCAAAACGTTTCAATAAACTAAAGGATAGCAGATGGAAAGAAAGACATGACGAAAGAACCTTTAAGGTTTGTTTTATATCTTTCCCTACAGCTTATAACACTAGAAACCATATATTTGAATTGTCTCATTCACCCGTTTATTGTTTAGACTCAGAAATCAATGGCCAGAATTAAACTCGTTTTGAGTGAGAGAAGAGTTGCCTACGAATATGCAAGAAGGAAAGATCCGCAGTTGTTTGGTTTAACTGAAGCTCCTAAATCACAAAAGTTTTATAAAGATGACGGAAAGCCAAACTTTTGGAGGGATGGTATTAGTAGACTTCGAGCCAGGACTGCATCAAGAATACAATAGGTGACTACAAGTTTTTTGACAAACTATGCCATCAACTTTAAGTGATCTATTATTCCATTAGTTGGCAAACAAAGATACATTGAAAATAAGATAGTTGTAATGGAAGAATTGTCAAATAGAAGACATATTAGTTGCACTAATTAGCCGGTTCTTTTATCACCGGTGACAAATGCTAATTGGACTCGCCGATGCCCTGATTTCTTTATTTTCTTGTAAGATCATATGCTCAACAAAGTCATCAGCAAAGGACTGTTTGTCACTTGGATAAAAAACATCTGCGCCAGAACTTTCAATCCCAATCCAAATACCATAATTCCAAAAGCTTTAAG